GAAGGATTTTTAGCCAATCTGCACTCATAAAAGCTGCATTTTCACTATGAGATAAAAGGGTATGTCACAAAAATGTTATATTCACACTTGGCTGGTGTTAGCTCAGCTGAGGTTTCATGAAGTTCCTTTGTCTATTCTACATGGTCTTACACTGATTCATTTAACTTGAACGGCAGGCAACTGCAGCTGCAGCCTCATCTAAGGTACATACAATTAACAACATTAACCAATTCAACTTTTTTCTTGTAATATCATGACCTTGCTTCTTGGGAGTACTTCCAGCATCCCTACAGACAATTTGTATGGGTCCCAGGTTGTTTTGCAAGGTTTATGGATTGCATTAAACATGATAAAATATACACAAGAACCATAAGAGATCACCTTTTACCTGGATAAGCAATTTACTGGAGAGATGAACTGCTCTTGTGGAAATGATTAGTGTCATATAGTTGGTGTCTCAAGTAGATACTCAAATACTTGGACTGGCTGCAGTAGCAACAGGAGATGGCTACAAAATTATTTCTCTAGTACAATCTGTACTACAGTTAATTTTATGCAGTTATACTTTCACACTGCATCTTTATATTTGTTTATATTTTTGTTGGCTGCAAATAGCACCATATACCTGATAGCTGTAAATGTGTAGCTGTGTAAGTCTTGATAAATTTATTATATTATCTTTGTACTACCCAAGTCAGAGCTACAAGCATTTCCATCCCACAGAAAGTGCACACTGCACCCATTATGTTTGATTACACCCATCCCCTCCTCTCACCTCCCACCTGCCCAACACCCAATGAATGTTACTACTATATGTGCACATAAGTGTTGATCAATTTGTGCCAATTTAATGGATAGTACATGTGGTGTTTGTTTTTGCATTCTAATTTTCTCTTTGTTGGAGGGTCATTCTAAACGTAAATCCATTAAAAAATGAAAAATGCTGTTATTTTTCAGACAGTGCTCTTTTGAGAAAGAAACATTATTTATTTTAGATGCCTATTTAATCAACTCTTAGAAACCATTTTATGACAAACTTTATGTTCTTTTAAAAATTTGGTAGAAATTTTTTTATAATCTTTTGTTCCTCACTCATATTTCCTGCTATGATTTGAATGCCCTCTCCAAAACTTATGTTGAAAGTTAATTGCCATTGTTATGGTATTAAGAGGTGAGACTATTAAAAGGTGATTAGGCTGTGCCCTCATGAAAGTATTAATGCTGCCATCATGATAGTGGGTTAGTTACCATGAGTACGTTCCTAATAAAAAGATGAAGTTTCCCCACCATTCTCTCTTTTACTTGCACATTCTCTTGTCCTTCTGCTTTTCCCCATGGGACAGCACATCAGCATGAAGGCCCATGCCAGGTGCCAGTGTCATGCTCTTGGACTTCCAGCCTCCAGAACTGTAAGCCAAATAAATTTCTGCTCATTAAAAACTACTCGGTCTATCATATTGTGTTATAACCAAATAAGAGACTGAGACATTTCCTGTATCTTCTTATATTTCTTTCAAAATTTTAATCCTCTTCTTCCACTTTTTCTAAACTTTTTTTAAGTCTAATTTTGTTGTCTATTGTGGGTGCCATCCATCATGGTTACTTATCTATCATTTTTTATTGAAATCTTGGACTTCTGGAAACTTTGTTTCTATGAATTCTTTGGATTTTATGCTGCGTTCAACCAAATATTTATCTTCCAAGGATGTCCCTGTTCTAATCTTTGGAACCTGTGAATTTGTTACTGTACATGACAAAAGGGGCTTCCCAGTTGTAATTATGATTAGACATGAGATATTATCTGGAATTATTTGGGTGGATCCAATCTAGGCACTCGAGTCCTTAAAAGTGAAAGAGGAAGGCAGGAATGTGGATCAAAGAGATGCATCTGAGAAAGACTTAACTTGCCATTGCTGGCTTTGAAAACTGAGGAAAGGAGCTATGAGCCAAGGAATGCAGCCGCAGCCTCTAGAGGCTGGGAAAAAACTTCATCTTAAAGTCAGCAAGAAAATGCAGATCTAGGTCCCACAACCACAAGGAACTGGATTTTGCCAATAACTATAATGAACAGAAGCATTTTCTCCCCAAGAGTCTCCAGAAAGTGACACAACATTGGTGACACCTTGATTGTAGTTCAGGGAGGCCTGACTACTTCAGACCTCTATCCACAGAGATCTGAGATAATAAATGTGTATTGTTTCAAGCCACTAAGTCTGTGGTAACTTGTTTTTGCAGTGACAGAAAACCAATACGAGATCTTTCTTCCAAAGAGAGTTTGAAGTTATTTTTAGCAGACATCTGGCAAAAGAGCATCTTTAAACCTAAGTCTTTGCATATGTTTTCTGGGCCAAGTAGGTACTGTAAATTCAGTTCTAAACCAATGTCTTATCAGTCTATATTTATTAATGATCATAGGACATTTTTGTTTGCTTTTTCCATGTCATTCTAAGTTGGAACAAAGGTATGTATGTGTGTATGCATGCACATTTATGCAAATATATATAAAGTTAATAATATAAAATTAATATATAAAGTATAATGTATACCATATAGATGTTAACATTACTCTTAATAATGTCATCTTTTGAAGGTACCAGCTCAGTGGAGAAGTTAAGTCTGAGAGATAATTTTTTACCTTATGCAAGCCAAAGTTTGGTCTCCCATGGAAAGCAACTAGATTTAACAAGCTCGCTTACCACTCTAGAATCATCTCTATAAATCTTACCATTTTTATATGTTTTTAAGTGCTCAACTATGCATACAAATATATGATATGGAATATTTATTACACATTATATATATATAATTTTACCTAATATTTTTTAGAAATTTTGTAGCAGAAATATTTAGAGCACTAAATCATTTCTTACATTGCTCATTGCTCAATATAATTTTTCATATCTATAATGCTTTTATTTATATTTTAAATTAAAACATATACACATAAGAAGGACACATTAGTTTTTATAAAATTTGGAAGAAGAAAATTGGTTGAGTTAGCATTTCTACTTCTCTGTATTTTTTAAATAGCTCATAACATTTTCTTAAGAAAAGAAAGAAAAATGCATAAAAGCCACTGATCCTTATGTATATTGTCATTAAAATAAAGACCACTCTTGATATTCCAAGTAGGAAGATATCCATGTAGCAAATTACAGGTTTGAACAAACTTTGTCAGGGCTGGGGTATACAATTCAGAGATATCACAGCTTTTGCCAGATCATAAAGACTCTGAATTAATATTGTGCAATGAATAGAAAATGAGTAAAGTTCCATCCCACTGTAGTCAGTTTAAATTCAAAGGAAGAGAAGACTTCCCTTTACCTTCCTTATCCGAATCTCATAGAATCATTGAATGTCAAGAGTTGTGAGAGATCTTAGAATCTGACTCTCAATTCTTATATTTTCTATGATTACTTTGACATATATTTGGTCTGTGCTTACAGATCTCACTTTAATAATACAAAGTTATCTACCTGAGCCCTGAAGCTTAAAAGGTGGGTGGTTGGCAGATGGGTGATTTGAACAGTCTTTATTACATTAAGCCAAAAATCTAGCTCACTGTCCTCCCACTAAGAACTCTTGCTATGGTGACATATTACTTCCTTTTTCGTAATGTAACATTTTCTCAGATATGTAAGTCAATAATCAGGTTAATGTTTCCAAACTTGTGTGCTTACTGTTCAGTTTATCAGTGCCTATTCACATTTGCCATTTATCAGTCTAGATATGATATTTGACCTCTGTTGTGGTATTTATACAAATCATACAATTAAGGTGCCCAGTGGTTCCAGTTTGCCTTAGACTGAGGGATCTCCCATGGTATACATCTTCTGGTACCAACACTAGGAAAGTCCTGTGGAAATTGAAACAAGTTGACCACCTGACAATGTACACATTGCTCTAGGGGTTCTCAACCATCACCAAAAAATGGATTCTTCTAGATCTGGTTTCAATCCTGTTTCTTTCTTCTTGGTAATTCCTCTGGAAAAGATGCTATGATCAAAACAATAGTCAGGCGGCAGGTGGGTGATGGCATGAGAAACAAACAATTTAGATGATTTTCGGTTGGATTGTTAGGATCAAGATGATAAATAATAACAGACTCCTTTATCTACTATGCTATGAATTGAGAAATTTAGGAGACAGATTTCATCTATTGGTGTTATGATATTTCAGGCATTCCACTGCTCCAACAATGCCCAAGCCTTAGTCATCTGCATTAGATTCTTGATGCACTCACAGACAGTGGCAAATTAGTTAACACGTGCCTCTTAGCATGTCTCTTAGGAGCACACTTAGAAAGCAAAAGCATTTTCTTTATCCAAAATGTGAGAAATAAATTCATGCATATGTTTCACAAACTGTTTTCTCTCATCTTCTCATCATCTTCTATCCCTAAGTGTCTTCTACCTTCAAAACGCTTCAAAGTTTTCTCCAATTTCTCAAGATTATGGAAATCTACCGCATTTAACAAAAGCATCCTTGTTCCACAGTCTTCCCACTCCCATGGAGCGGGGTTCTCAATGACAGAACTGCCACATCAGAATGCTTTCTTATGACTGCGACTGACTAAAGAATTTTCATAATTGGGATCCACATTTTCAAAGAAGTACCCTGGGCTCCAAGTGACACTGGGACTGGGTGATTTCTTAAGAACTTGAGCCTTTCAGCTAAAACTTCAGCTGCAACACTCATGGATTCACCCTCCCTATACTGGAAAGCAGTTGCCTCCATAGCTGCTCCCAGGCCTTTCCCCAGCACTGTGTCTTTTGTTTTCTTCTAGTCGGATGTCTCCCAAATCCATGAGATTTACTGTCAATTAGAAGCAACATATTCTTTTTGGGAAACTTTCACTGCAGTGAGAGGCCCAAAGGAGATATATTATTTTATATGGTTGCATAGGTTTATATATTCCTATGTTAACAAGGACCTCATTCATATTTAAATAAGTTAATACATGTTAATAATTTAAAAGAGTACCTAGCACATAGCAAGTGCTCAAAAAATTCCGACAATTATTAAGAACTATCTCTTAATACTATCATGTAATGCATGAATGTTTTCTTATTATTTAATTGGCTCAATTGCATGATAAAATGTGGAAATCACATATAGGAGAATATAGAAGTTATCTGAAATTATTTTGCTCAGAGATGACCATATTCAATATTTTGTTAAGCAATATGTGTATATTTGAAATTATGTTGTGTATAAATTTTAAACATCCTTTTTACTGGTTCGCTATTTCATATATTCACTTAATGACTGCAATCTTTTTTCATGTAGCTATAAAATGGGAATATCAATGAATACCTTAGTAATGAACATCAACTGTTCCTGAAGTTTTATTATTCTCAATAAATTCTGGCAATGACATTCTTTTACCTAAACTTTTCAGGAAAGTCTTAATTATTTTGTTAAAATCAAATTCTAGAAGATAATCATTGGGCCAAAGTATACAAGTCTGAAACACGATTCATTGTAAAATTGCTCTCCAAAAAGGTGTGGCAAATTTATACTCATGTTGGTGCTACAAATCTTCCCACATCCTCTCAAATGTTTACAAATGTATGTAGATATACAAATACATATGTGTAGGTTGATTTAATCTTAGTCAAATAATTATATTTTCTTTTTATAATCTATTTTTTAAAATCCTTTTTTGGCCAGGTGTGGTGGCTAATGCCTGTAATTCCAGCACT